GTTATGATACTTAAATGTAGTTCTATTAACTTATTTCAACCAGCAATACATGACGCTGTACAAATTTTGTGTGACAAAATGACAATAATAATTAAATATAATTATACTTTATTATTAATATTTATATTTAGTGAGTTTATAATAAAAGTGTTTAATTAAATTCTTATTATGTACATATTAATTCTGTTCAATATAGGATCGTAGAATATAATTGTTCAGAAGCGTACAAAACCATGATAATACATCTTTTATGTTGTTGAATACATTAAATTTAAGATCCTACAGCACTATTTATATAAATAATTATTTTCTCTTAAAGAATTCAACTTTGTTTACACAATTGGAATAAACATTCATGCTGGAAAAAATTAATTAAATAATAATAAAAACATTTATTGTATGTAATTAATTATTTATTTATTGTAAAGCGAATATTATAAAATTTAATTTAAAGATAATCAATGAAAACTTTTATTTTTAATTTAATATTTGTATAAAGAATACTTTGCTTGGTAACAATGTATAGGTTGGAGGCAACGTGTGCCGCGAGTGCGCGGCTCGCTTGAGGTTCGCTGGACCACACAAGCGCCACATGATTATGCAATCGTCTGTTTCGCCCAGTTGTAGTTTGGTATTTATTTCTGCGCGGTGTATATTTTACGGCAATAAAATATACATTATTATACAGCCGTTCCGAATATATATCGGAGATAAAGAGCTCAAACGCAGCCGAGTGTGGGTCAACAAAGTAGCCGCCCACGCGGCGGTGGCGGCGGCGGCCACACTTTCACGGGGCACCCTTGCTTGCTTGCATCACGGCCCCCGAACGAAAAAGCAAAACGACCTGCACAGATCCATTTTCATATTCTTTCAGACTTTGGCAGCTGAAGGTTTTGTCTGGTGTGGCGCGGCAGCGTTTTTCTGGCAACGCGCGGCACAATGGATTTTTAATGATTTCTGGGTAATGTATCAGGATGTAGGTGCCAGACTGACAAAAACAATTTCAATATAATAATAGTCACACAACAATGCAGCAGCGCCTCTCATTCCTCGCTGCCCCGGCCGCTTTTTTCTCTCGTCCGTCCTCCTTTGCTTCCAGACATTTCGGCTGATTATTAAGTTGATATGGACGTGTCTAAAGTGTTCTCGATGAGCAACTGAGAAATTTATGACACGGCAAAACCACCAGCGGCTCATTCTGGATGAAAGACTTTTGAATAAATTGTTTTACCAATTTTACATAATAAAAGCTCAACTGCACTTTCAGTGAGCTTATGAGAAGACAAATAATGTTTCTTGATAGTAAATATTTTCCATGGAACATTTTCACTGTAAAAAAATATTTAATTAGGTTAAAATTCTTTACAATGCGTTAAACAAGGCGTTCAAAACAAATTTTTACTTGGAACATTAATAATTAATTACAAAACACGCAAAGTTTTCATAGTTATTCGAGCTTACTTGATAATTATTATTAATAATTGTATAAATGTGGAAAATAAATAATTAATGAAATTGAAATTTAACTCGGTTTAACTAAAAATAAAATAAAAATTGAAATTTTCACCCAGACCTTTGATTTGTATATTTTTTCCATTTTTATAATCATGCATTCAAGGTAAGCAAATAATTAAAAATAATTGAGTGAAACTTGCATTAATTAACAAAAAAATTTAATCAACCAATATCATCTTATTGAAACACACACGTTTCAATTTTTCTGACCTAAATTTTAATAAAATTAATATTGTTAAAAAAATTTTGAATTCATATTGTCAAAAGTTTTGTATAAAAATGTAACATTTAAATAATTTTTTCACATAAAATTGTTAAATTAAAAACAAAATATTTTTATAAACTGTGAACTAATTTTTGTCAAAATAATTTCACAGCTCATGAATTATGGCTGCAGCCCGCAGCCGAAACATGATTGTAGAGCAGGTTATTGTTTTTTTGAAACAATAAACAACTCATAAAACCCATCGAGGAAAAGCCGATTTTAAATTCAAATCATCATGAAATTTCATCTTAGTTAGGCAATATTTAACAATTTGTTTGCCATCTCTTGATTTTTCATTTTTGAGCGGAGAACAAACAATGAAAAAACAAAACAATTTAAAATAAATTAATATTAAAGAAACTATTCAAGTAATTTCCTGCTACTAGCACCACCAGAACATCTACTGCACCTATCGGAAACTGTGGTTCAATAATTGAAAAATATTGAAGTTAACTAATTATAATAAAAAATTCATGCAAAATATAATTGAATAAATTTATTTAATTAAATTTCAGTAATAATGTAGGCAAATTATCTCAGAAAAGTACTTTTTAAATCTGGTTCATTTATACGTTGATTAATTTTTTGGGTCTGCACTCGATATTATAAAAATTTTAGAGTAAAAACAATCTGGTTTTAAGTGAAGAGAGAGTGTCGAGCAAGAGTGAATTAAAATTGGCCCAAATTGAGCGCCGCCGCTGCCAGCGATCAAAGATAGCAGACTCTGCTTCCATTGTGTGCGTATATCAATAAAATATTTTTTCCATAGACAAGCATAATAACCGTGAAACTCGTAATATATGGTTCTCCTTATCCAACTAAGTGGCTCCCAATATTTCATCAGGCGGCGCGGCGCGCGCGACAAGGTGAAAGCCTATAATTCTCGCAGCATTTTTTTTACCTCTTGCGCCGTGCGTAAGTGGATGGGCGGCGACCGATCCTCGCGGCCGCCGCAAATTAGAGGCGCATCGCTTGCTTGGTCTCTGTGTGTGTGAAAATCTCAACACGCGCGAATTGGCGAGCCAAATTGGGGAACTGGTCCTCATATGCCAATAACAATAAAAACATTCGGTGAAACTTCTTTTGCGGGTCAAGGTGTTTCACAAATATCGGCAGATGTTCCTAAATGCGTGAGAATTGTTTATAGTTGAATCCAAATCTTTTAATGGAAATTAAAAAAAAAAATGCAATTATATTTCATTATAATAAATAAAAAAATTGTGATGGAAAATATAATTTATATAAAATTTTTCAACCTGATATTGATATTATTTTTTTTCGAGCGCGTTCCACGCCCTCATTAAAGAATCAAGATGAAATTTTCTTTTTTTTCCATTCAGACTGGTCGACGTGTTGATACAAAATAAAAGCTCACTTATGACTTATTAAAGTGCAGACTGCTGATGAGCATGCAGGGCGTTGATGCAAGCAATAAAAAAAAACACACAGCGCGTCGTTTTAATTGCATTCCGTGACTCACTTGAGGCGAAATTTCTTAAGGTCACCGCAAACTGCAAGCATCAGCACAACACGAATTCCATGCAAAGCCGCCGCGTGCAATTAAAAATCACACAGCGCTCTCTCAGGGCTCTGATTGCAGTGCTCGGTGGAAATGTATCAAATTTCCAGCGGCGCAGGCACCAACGCCGCCGCGGCTTATTGCAAAGCAAGTCTGCGCAGCGTAATCCTGCACTTCTTGTTCTTTCTGCGAGACGATTTTCGCACACCTTTGCTCCTTGTCTTCGCTCTGAAATTAAGAGATGATAAGTCTCTGTCCTGCTCAACACTGGACCCACATCCCTTATGTCTGGCAAGGGTCAATGAACTTCCAAAAGAACCCAATAGCAAAAAAAGTGGTGGATAACAATAATAATAAAAGTTGTGAATTTAAAATCGATTTTTCTTTGGTCACTGCTTTAATTGTTTATTGTTTTGCACCAAAAAAAACATCCTTTGTGATCCTTAATGAGAACCAATTCAAACATTTTCTATTGTGATTATATTAAAATTGTGAACATTAACTAAACGTTAATAATTTAAAAAAAAATTCTTATGAGAAATTTTTAAGGTGCAGAGCCGGATTTTTTTTATCACTCTGCGCATTTCATTTTTATTGCACTATAAAATTACAATTTACACAAAATAGAGATTTTAGAATTATTATTGTTTTTATTTTATATACATTAGTGATCTTTTAACAAAAATGAAAGATAAACTTTATGGCCATTACTGGGGAGTATTACGAGCTATGTAATTTCTGTATATTTTACTTCTTTTGTATTATGTTACTAACTTAAAAACAAATGTTCAAAATTTCAGAATGGACTCAGAGAGATTTATTGTTTGTTATAAATAATTTTAAATTTATTTACTTTTTATTTCAGTTTTATATTTATGATATTATTTATATTTTATTTAATAATGTTATTGTATAGATAATATATTCTCCTTTATTATTTTCTAAATATCATTTCAATCAAATAACACAAAATAACGGTTTACCATGTGGAAATATATTGTTAAACTTTAAACACAATTAAAGTATAAAAATAATATAATTCAGTTGATGATACCACAAATCAGGAAATAGTACTTTAAGTATTTTATCATTAAGTTGATGGGTTCCTATTTTAATTATCTTAATTAATAGAATTAATCCAAAATAAATAAATATATTGAGATTTGGAATTGATAATGAATCAACTGAAGAGGCAGCTTAACAAGCCAAGAAGATTTAACTATAATAAACGCGAAAAGTGATCTTTCAAAAATGTCATTAAATATAATAATTCCTTTTTTTGTCAAATTAATTAATTAAAAGGTGATGATACTGATTAAGCAACAAACTGAGCAGTTTGAAAATCAGGAATGTGTGATTTATAAATCGTGACCGTGCACCGACCATTGATGTCACTGGCGTGCGCGCCCATTCACGGCGAGTGGCGCGCGCGTGTCCGAGGATGCAGCCCGCAATGCATCTCTCGTGGGGCCGGGAACGCGTGCGTCCGCGACCACGTGCCGGCGGGGTGGGGGCTGGAAGTCGGCAGGCGGGCAGGGGATGAATGGGGCGGCGGGAGGGGGCCGCGTCTGGAAGGGCCTGTCTTGGGGTCGGCGGGCGGCGAGTGAGTCACGCAGGCGCGCGCCGAGCGAGCAGCGGCGGCGGCGGCAGCGGCGGGCGAGCCACGGACTCCTCACACACGCACTCGCTTTTCATGCCAACTCGGTCGAGATAGACGCTGGGCACGCGCTGCTAGTGTTGATCATGATGGTCGGCGGCCGCTCCACCCTGCCGGCGGCCACGCGGCGGCCGCCGCTGGGGCAGCGCCAGCAGCGCGCCGGGCTGCGCTGATCCTCGACAAGCAAGAGCCACACGCAGCCTGCGACAAGCAGACAAGTCTCGCACACACACCAAGAAACTCGATGGCCTCGCCGACCTGCTGGGCGGTGGCCGTCGCGCTGGCCGCCGTCGTGTGGTGTCCCGTCCAGCTGCGGGCCGACCAGCTGTGTCCGACGTGCTCGCCGCCCGCGCTGGGCGACGCCAGTGAGTTCAGTAGTAGTGCAGGTGTCAGTGCCCAGCAGCACCCCCATCTGCACCACAACCACCACCAGCAGCAGCAACTCTCGGACAATTTCGTCAGGATCGAGGCCATCAAGCAGCAGATCCTGTCCAAGCTCGGCTTCCGCTCCAAGCCCAACGTCAGCTCGTCCATCCCGCACGAGGTGCTGCTCGAGACGATGCGCATCGTCGACGACACCGCCGGCCAACACCGCAAACAGCCGCCCCCGCTCGAGCTCGAGGACGACGACGACCTCGGACGAGCCTCCGAAATCATCTCATTCGCCGAGCCCGGTGAGTGTTTTTTTGATTTACTTTCTTAATCGAAAAATTCAATTTTTTTTTTGTTACGGGAAGGAATCGATTTATGTATTTTTCTCGTCGCCGCTGTCGTTTTTTGTTTTTTTGTTACATATTTGGCGGAATGTTGCATTTTATTGTGGCCGTGCCAAGAAAACTGATTTCCATAAATCATGCGCGCGCTCTGACATTGTCAACCGTGGCAGACAAAAAAGGGCGCAGAGTTGCTCGCACAGCAAACTTTGGCTGCGGCCAAAATTATACATATTCTATGCTGTCGTATGCGGAGTAAAAGATCTTTTTATCTTCGCCCGAGTTCACTTTACTCGCGATTGTAAAAAGCCAGTTTGTAAAATGAGATTAGCTCGGTGTCAGGGTTACGCCCTGACGGTGCTAGATCCTATGGGAATAGTCAATTAAACAAATGTGATACCCAGGGAAGACATTGTTATTATTAAATATCCAAAGACAGTTATTACATAAATACCTTTAACGGAGGTGATACTTGAGAACGTCCGCGTGGGTTCGTCCCGTGGTGATGAGTGACGCCGCCGTCACTCATCACATACTAGGTGCTCATTTTTGCTTATTGTGCGCTCCCGGTGAGTGGGAGTAATTTATCACTAATTTACTGGGGAGCGCACTAATTCAAATCCTGACATCTCCCCCTCTCGAATTTAGGGAAAGAACAAAAACAAATAAAAAAATAAGAAGTTACTTTTAGGACTTGTTAATATTGAAAAATGTTGCCTTGCTCGAATAAATAAGTTATTTAATATTTGTAAATGAATATTATCCTCTTACTTAATTATGATTAAGAATACTGAATTTACGAATCGCCGTAATGGAATTTTCCGCAATGTTATTAATTTTGGAATATTTATTTGAGATGGGAAAGATTTTAATTGCTTCAACCGATTAGTTGGGGTGAGGTACCCACCCCCTCCCCCCGGCTTATTTGGGGAATTTAAAATTTTAGTTTTATTTTGTTTGGGACGAATGTGTAAATAGTGTTGTGGAAAAAAAAAATTTTTTTTTTTTGTATAAGCAAAATTTTTGATATCCGACTGGACTGGCGGACCCTCGTAATTGTGCCAAGGGGAGCAAAGTCGTGGGTGGAGGAAGCCCACAGCGGTGGTCAGCCGCGCTCGTTTACGAGCCCTTGCACAAAGCGAGAGGACCTCAGTCCAAAACGAACATATGGATCGAAAGGGTTTTGGGGTGTGTTAGCCGGAATATAAAAGGGGTTGGAGCCCGCACCACAACCGAAACAGGAATAGCGGAAAAGAACGTAATTCGAGAAAAAGGGGAACACGGAAAAATTCCATTGACGGGAAGGAAGAGGTGTGCGACAGGGTGTCCAGCCCTGAGTACAAAATAAATTCGGAAAAAATTAAAGAAATAAATAAAAATAAAAAAAAATTAGATAAAAAGGAATGTTGACCATGTAAAAATAAAATGCAAAGTAAAAAAAAAAAAATAACAAAGGGAATAAAAAAATAGCGATGGTCAAATAGACGGAGAGAGAGAAAAAAAATTAGGGACTTCGAGCAAAATTTAAATACTGGAGAGCGAGAGACGTCAGGGTAATAAAAGGAGACTAAATTACCAAAAATAAGGAAGGAAATAAGAGCACCGAACTAAAGTTAAATACAGAGAATGCAAATTAACAAAAAATCAAAAAGGGATAAATCGACGCACTGAGTGTCCTACACGTTGGTTTAGTCTTCGGCCGAAGGACAACGGCGTCACGTCTGATGGTGGGATGTGGCGGCGGAGCGGCGGCTGGACGGCGGAACGGCAGGACAGCAGGACACATTTCACCAGTCCTCGAGATCGGAGGACGGAGGCGAGAGGGGCAGTGTGGCCACGTATTCGTCGGGCTCCCATTCATCCTCCGATGAGGGGGGGGAAAACTGGACATCGGGAGGCAATGCCGCTTGAGCTGTGTCCAATTCGGCCTGGAGGAAGGCAAGGTACGGACTCAACAATTCGCAGAATGTCTGGAGCCTGGCGAGGAATTGACGGGCGAGGTTGCGGCCGATGTTGGGTTGGCCCGCGTCACGGACAGATACGAGTGTGTCAAACAGAGTCAGAAGGAGCTGAGCGGAGTAGGAGATGCGTGCCAGGTGAGCGACTACCACCTCTCGGGTCTCGTCCAACAGGGACTCGAGAGCAGTCGGGTTGGAAGTAGAAAAGACCTGTGCGTCTCGTAGAAGGCTGCGGAGGTGCGCTCGAAAATAGTCCGTCAAGAAGAAACTTTGTCCCGCCGCCGCGAAGTTGATGTATGATTCCAGCCGCTGCCCCGTCCGGTAGCATTGGGAGTCGAGGCGGCAAATCCTGAAGCTCTCGGACCGTAGTACGTAGATGCGCATCATGAGTGCTACAAAAATAAACCCAATTATAAGGAAAAAACACAAAGCTGAAAAGAAGGAAAGATTGGGCAGGAATGCCTATGGGCAGTCGTGTCCCATCTCATTAAGAAAAGATGAAAATAAAGGGACTGGAAATGGTCCATTGAATTTATTATTACATCTTTGTGTGTAGGTCGGATGAAGAAGGGAGATGTAAATAAAAAAATCTTCAACCGATTATTATTATTATTATTGTGAATATTGAATTTTGTGTACTAATAAAAAAAATTTTCATCGCAAGATGCATAAGTGATTTGTAAAAAAAGAAAAAATGAAGCCAATGAAAACCGAGAGAACAATACTTGAGATTAAATAATAATGAAAATTAACTAGAACGAAAAGTATGTTAAAAAAAAATTTGATAATTTTCAATAAATTATTCCTGTCATTCCTGAGCCAGGTCGGAATGCACCTCGACCCCCAGGCGGCCAGCCGAGGCCGAAAGAGCGGCCTGGAGGCGGCCCAGGCCGAACCTCGGTTGAGGTAGGCGAGAGTGAAGAGCGCTGTCAGCTGATGGGTGTCAGTTGATTAACCCAGTTTCGCTGGAGTAGTGTGTGCGTGGAAAGTGTCAGGTTGGACACCAGCCGGTATGGAAAAACATACGCACAAGTCGTTGGAGGGGAAAGCGAGTTATGATGTTTTAACTCTGGTGCAACCGGTGGCACAGTATGGAGAAATGAATGAATTATGTCTAGTGTGCGAAAGGAACCATAATAATAATCATAAAAATAAACAATAAACGAAAATAATAATAACCAAACTGAGAAAAATAATAATAATAATACCCACACAAAAATAAGAAATTTCAAAAAAAAAATCTAACGGTCAGGCCGTCGAGATAATTTTAACTGATACTTGAATTTGGTATGGACAGGGTTGGTATTGTATCCTGAAGAAAGTAATTGATGGCACTTACAGGATTGAAATTAGACGGAAACTCGGAGAAAGAACGTTTGAATCAAAAATTCTGAAGGGACGCGTCTGACTCCGTTGCCAGGAAGACGTGTGATAAAGTAATGAAAAATGCGACAATGACTGAAAGTGATATGTGAACTCGCTCGATTCTTGAGTCGCGCTAAAAATGCTGATTCAGGAAGATGTATATGAGCGAGGGGAATTAGGAAGTACGGAGAAGGCTGAAAGAGGAAGATTAGTGCAACCAACAAAACAAAAGGAAGTGTAATGAACAAGTGAAAAGTAAAGGCGCAATAATAATAAAATTAAAAAAAAATCAGTATTGTATAAGGTCCAGAATATTTGAAATTAAAATCCATGTATTTTGGAGATTAATTTAAAATAATCGGGAGAGACGGAATTGAAGTGCAAGTTCAGCAGCATAATTCTTAATTTTTAATTCAAAAGCCATGAAGTTGGCAGTTAAGTTAAAAAAAGAGAATAAGATAATTATTTGAACAAATAATTATAATGTGAATTGAAAATTGGTGAGAGAGAAAAAAAAAAATTTATTGCGCATAGTCAATGAGAAAAGTAAAATTGGAATGAAAAACAAATTCAGGTGAAGTGCAACATTGGAAGTGAAAGAAAAATTTACAATGCCATATAATGTAAAAAAAAAAAAAAATGTGCAATAAAAGCGAAACCTATGAAACTCGGCTTGTGATTTTACTCCTGAGGTAGCCGATCACACAGGGCCAGTCGTGTCGTGTAAAAACGCTCCATCAGGAGACGCGGCGGCGAAAACGGCGAGCGATGATCATAAGATGCGGCGTGGCAAAGATTGATAGCGATTTTTATATTGTGACGCATCGCGCGAAGAAATCCACGAAGGGCTTGTTGAGAAGATTGAGAAGTTCGATTAAAAGGGCGTACCAGAAAAATACAAGAAGGAAATGGTTGGCCGTCCATTTCTTTGAAGAGTTGAAAGATGTGAACTGCTATATCAGTCCATGAGGCTAATTCTCGTCGAGCAAAAAGAAACTCATGATCGCGAATATGGCGAGTCGCGATACTCAAAAGTCCTTTCTGAATGGACAGCAGACGGCGGAGCAGTGCCAGCGGTGTTCTGGACACGGCCGTCCGGGGTCTTAGAACGTGGTTTGTGACAGAATTGTGTCGTGTGGCCATCGCAAGCTGGAGGAAAAATAAAAAAATTGATTTAGGGCCGTGAAGGAGAGAGAGAGAGAGAGAAAAAAAAATTAAAGAATAAGAACCCAATTTGAAATTTTTGTATTGACCGAGAAGAATAAATAATAATAATACAAAAAAAATGCGTTATTGAAGGAAGGAGAATAATGAAGAGCCAAAAAGTATTTAAATAATTAAAAATTAATAATTTTAAACTTGCGATGAACTCACGCGCGACCGAAGGAGTAATGAAGAAGAACTGCCGTGAGGAAAAGTGGATAATGAAATGAATCGTATGACACCGCCGCGTGAAATAATTACGGAGGTGGTGGTGCATCAGGGGGTTCCGCAGAGGAGTCATTTTGCTGCGAGCGCGGTATCGCGGGTAGTGGCCGTCGTTGGTAAATTCGGTGCCTGTGGCGCGATGATTTTGGTGTCCGATTTGCATTTTGGAGGCCCCAAAGTAGGCTTGGCGTGCGTACAATGATCCACGCG